TTTATTCAAAATTGTGATGCCTCATAGTGAAACCCAAGATTCTTCAGAAGTACCGAGGCTGATGCCCCTCATAACAACCAGAGCAACAATTAATGTAGGCACATGGACAGTCCAAAAAATGTGGGAGACCGAAAAGACCAGTCGAATAGCTACGGAAATGATGAGATACAACTCGGCGGTGCTCGGAATCATGAAACCCATTGGACACAAGCTGGACAGAAAAGATTAGATTCAGAAGAGGTGATGTTGTGCTCTGGTCATGGAGAAGGAAATGCTCCACATACTCAGGGAGTTGAACTGATGCTGTTCAAAGAAGAACATAATGCACTTATAGGATGGGAATCTCATGGATCCAGAATCATAAGAGCATCCTTCAAATCAAACAAGCAGGGAGTTAAAATAAGTTCTGTTCAGTGCTATTCACCCATCAAAGATAGCGATGAGGACGACAAAGATCAGTTCTATGACATGCTTCAGTTGGTCGTAGTGAAGTATCCAGCAAGGGACCTGACCTGTCAACAACTATATGACACAATGATGGAACTGGCAGGGAAATTCAGTAAACCAGAGAGACCGGTCAAGGGCAAATAAGACAGGACAATCACCGACATTCAGGGACAGAGGAACAAGTGGGTACTTTGAACATTTTGAGCGAATCATGAATAGATCAGCTCCACTCAAACCACCATACATCGAGGCAGCACACACAGATCTTCCTTATTAAGCCATCAAGTGAATGGAACTGGTCACTATACACCAACTCCCTTGACTATGATAGGGCGTTTGACTGTGTGGATAGGAGAACATTATGTACATGTAGTAAGCCCATTCCATTACTGTATTATTTATCCGCTCACTGTAATTTAGACACTTAATCCACCATGTAAATTTCTGTGTGAGTATGATTGAGCACATGTCTGCACATCAATTTTCATTTCTATTCTCCCATTGGTTGTAATACACAGATAATCAATAACTTATCCATACTTGATTAACACTCATATATATATATATATATATATATATATATATATATATATATATATATATATATGGATTTTTAACACTCACACTCACACACACATACACTTTTTTCACTGTGTGCTTGCTTCGTGTACGCTTGCGGATTTTACCAATTTTTAACAGTAAACTATCTCTATAACTGGTGTTCAGACTTTTGAATAATCTCGAGTAAATCGCTAATTCTACTAGGAGATTCAGCCTGCATTAAATACTCAGTTAACGGGATACTATTTATTGGAGTCAGATATAGAGGACACTAGCCTCTACAAAGTTGATGAGCCACATTTAGAACACGCACTATTTCTCTACAGTAGTCGACTGGATTATGAAGACCTCCACATCTGACGGGAAGCACGGAATACAATAGACAGCTTCCATGCAACTAGACAATTCGAACTTCGCAGATGGCCTAGCAATCCTATCCCACCTAGTCAGCAGCATCATCATCGATGTACAAGGAGGATCTGATGCACAAGTAGAGACAAGGATTCGAAAAGTAAGCGCAGCATCCCTACAGTTGAACAACATACGCAACTCCAAACAACCGTCTCTCAACCAACATCAAAGTCACAATCTTCAATGCGAACGTCAACACAGTCAGTCAGTCAGTCCTACTGTACGGAGCTGAAACTTTGACAACTAGCACAACCATAATCAAAAAGGTACAAGTATTTATAAACAAATGTCTACTCAAGGTACTCAATACATGTTGGTCGGATGCCATCGACAATAAACTACTGTGGGAGAGAACAAACCAGTTTCCAGTTGAAGAGGAAATTGGCAAAAGACGTTGTGGGTGGATAGGATATGCACAGTGCAAATAATCAAACTGCACATTGAAGCAAGCGCTAACTTGGAGTCCTGAAGTTGAAATGAAAAGAGGAAGACCAAGGAGCACATTTCATTGGGAATTGGAAGCATACATCAAAAGAATGAATAGCACTTGGAAACATCGTGAAAGCAGAGAGGAGGACAGAATTCGATAAAGAATCCTGGTTGGAAGCCTATTCTTCTCTGCTAGGGGTAACAGGCACAAGTGTATATATATATATATATATATATATATATATATATATATGCATAAAAGTGCCAATAAAATGATACTCCTAAATGTTCATATCATATGGGGGGGTTATATTAGATGTATGATCCAACCAATACTCACACTTTTAAAGGTTCGTTATTCTCTGATACAATAAGAATTTAGTTAGATTTCTAGTGGACAGAATGGGTAGGACGTTACTTCGATACGACAATAAAAGAATAGTTTCAAGATCACAGAAATACATTCACTGACAGCATACCCAGGTGACTCAGTTAAAAATTCATTTGACAGAAAGTCACAATAAACTTAGGACCTAACGCAAATATGAATCGTTCCACTTTTTCAAACCCCAACTGAACACAGAAAAAGAGAAAATTAACAAGATGGGCAGCAGAGAATGGCAAAATCAGACGCAACGGAAAACTAAGCATGAGAAATATGAATCAGCCATCAAATAATGCTGAGCAAAAATTATGGATTGAAAAGCTGGTCAGTAAATTCTACTGTGACCGATTCTGAACTTTATCGAATGTTTCCAGTTGTAGATTACGGCTATTTAGTGTTTTCAATGAGATATCTACGTCTTCCCAAGGTCCGTAGGCGGAGTCGTATTGCTGCCTGTAGAGAGGTGACGGCAGTAAGATGTTTTCTTCAGATAACCAGAATAACATTTATGCTGCCTTCCCACGAATATCCGTTTCAGGCGGTAAGGTCTCAACAAGCACGCAGCTAACACCGAAATTACGCACAGAAGGGTCGTGTGTGACCGACCTCAAGCAACTGTCCCTTGGGCACTGCGGTCACGCTCTCTCAATCAAAACTAGTACATAAACCTTGTGAAGGCTCTTTACTCGAACACTACCAGTCGGGTCAGAGATTATGGCGAACTGCCATCTGAATTTAGAACCCCAAGCGATGTCTGGCAAGGCTGTCCATCATCTCCATTGTTGCTTAGTTTCATCATAAATCTATTACTGGGAATAACGTTATCTTCGTCTGAATTTTCGGGACTTGATCTAACAGGAGATCCACTTATTGACTTATAATATACACATGACATAGTCCAGTTTGGTGGAAACACTGATAAAATGCAGTCTTTTGGTAGCACTAAGCAACAATGCCAGAATGTTTGGGATGTGTTTCTCTCCCTCTAAATGCAAGCTGTTGCTTCAGGACTGGTCTGCGTGAACACTTGAATTAAGGATAGGGAGTGAAGTAGTCGAAAGCGTTGACAACTTCACTTATGTTGGAAGTCTGATCAGCCCTAATGGATTGGTTTCTGACGAAATCTCTGCACGGGTTCAGAAAGCTCGTTTGGCTCTTGCCAACTTACGTCACCTATGGCGAAGGCGAGATATCTGTCTATCAATTAAAGGACGAGTATATTGTGCGGTAGTTCGTCCAGTTCTAGTTTACGGCTGCGAAACATGACCGTTAAGAGTAGGAGATACTCGTAAGCTACTAGTATTTAACCGCAGACGCCTTATAAATATTGCTCGCATCTGTTAGGATCACCTGGTAAGTAATAGTGAAGTTACACGCAAGATATTAGGGAATGATGGTAAATCAGTTGATGAGGTTGTAAATCTTCATCGACTGAGATGGTTGGACCATGTGATGATACAGTTCTCAAGATAACTTAATTAAGTAACTCCAAACACAACCGAAGGTTCCTTACTTTTCGTAATCAATTTGAGTATCTCTTGATGTAAAATACTGTCAAAGGTTATTGATGAAAACTAGTATGCAATCAGTATTTTAAACTACACAATACATCCCCATTAATGTTTTGTTTTTTCTGAACATTCGTAAAATGATGGATTTCTAGTGTCATTAAATGCTTCAAGAAAAACATCCTAATATTCTGTGGATCATTTCAAATGATGAGAAAGCTTTTTATGTAACTATCCTTCATTTAAAAGGAACGAAATCCAAATTCCTATGGAACAGATATACCCGTAGTTTTTTATCAGAAACATACTTTTTAATTAAATATAAAACTGTAGTACAGTTTGATATTGAGAGATGTGTTAAACACATTTGTCAATACTTAACCTGAACTTTAATGAAACGTGAAATATTTCTCCTAGAAGTACACTTCTGTAACTTTCGAATGCGGGGGGAGGTTGCGAACTATCTTATACATTTCCTAGTGAGTCTAAAAACTTTTTCGTGAAATCTATAGCCCCTGACTCCTCTATCTTTCATCTTTCTTGTTCACCAGTGAACACACTCATTAGATAGATTCTTGTTAGTCTAGATTTGTCGTTTTTCCTGACCTTTCTCTAGGTCTCGCTAAATGTTTCAAGGTTATTAACTCAGTACTTTTTAGAATCATAATGGATTCAGGCTTACAACCGTAAACGGAACTCCATATTTTGGAGGGCGTCCCAACTGAACAACTGAGGGAAAATGATTCGGATAATGTACCTGTTTCTGCTTACGAACACGAACTACCACATTCCTGATTGAAAGGTACACAGGTAACGCGAAAAAGGCTTTCGAAACGAAAAAATACGTCTTAACAATAGCACAACTTAGTACAGATTTCAATTCAACTTTATAGAACTTGATCAACAAGAATAAATGATCGTTAACTATATCTGCTATACGAAGGTTAATAATGTTACTCACCTGCATAAGTAGATAGAAGCACAATACGCAATAAAACAATTGGAAGTCAACAACTCAAATCATTTAGATACGACTTCACAAACGACAAAACATACAAACGATCTTATTACCGAAGAGATAACCAACTCCAAATTAACGGTGGATAGACGTAACGTGTGGAGAGGTGACATAAGAAAATCACCTCAAATCCACAGTTTTAAGTGTATTCCATTGGTTAGTGAAATATCCAATGGTAAACTAAATAAATTTATTGGAAATACAATTATGATTGTGCGAAATAAGTCAGTGTCATTTATTTCACATTCTATTCTTTATTAGATAAGAGGTTAGTGACACGAAAAGAAGCAATGATACAAATGAGGAAATGAAGAGATCTTTCAACAACATATACGTACAAATGAAAAGACAAAGCATAAAAAACGTACATTTTGTTAAGCCGTCACATTTTGTCTAATGGTAAAGAAAAGATTAACTCGAAAATTAGGATGCATTTTTTGTAATGTTCAGTTTACATAAAATTACAACATACAGTTACCTTTTTGATGTAAAGTCATTATCTTTACGAATAATGTTTTTAAATTGGATACTGCGGATTTAAATAAACTTAGGAAGATAAGAAGGGCCAAAGCAGAAAGTACATTTAACTTGGAATGAAAACGAGAGAAAAAGATAAAATAAAAAGTCAATGGCAAACATAAACGGGTCCACAATTTAGAACATGCAGCAACGAATAATGGACATTGGGGAGTTTCTTAAAACTATTTGGCATATTTTAGTGAATAGTCTACGGTTCGCAATCAAAATAAAAAACTAGTTGGTAGTATTAGTCTTTTTTTCCCATTAAATCCTGTGAAATAGCTTCAGTAGCCTTCTTTTTAGCTGAAATTCAAAAGCACAAACACTTCATCTCATCACAACAGGAAGGATATATCCAAACAAATGAACTTCAGAAATACACAAGATCCTTTAAATATAACATCTTAACAAGAATAAAATATTAATATTATCTGGTCACAAAGAAGATAAAGACGAAATATGAATCCAATAACAAGAAGTTAAGGTGCAAAAAAAACATGGGAAAAGATACATAATTAGTGTTATAACAATTGATTTTGACTTATTTCACCCAATGTTTTCGATCACAGAATTCGAAAGTCTTCCCCTACGTGACTCGGATTGGTAATTACCAATGAAGTAAGATCGTTTCATATTTAAAGCGTTTAACAGCCTTCCCGGTATTTCCTTTCAGAATAACCCATAACAATAACTTAATTCAGCTGAACAGTTTGGCCATATTTTCTAAGAGCTGGTTGAGCCTAGACTTTTTTGGACCACATACATTTTCTTTGAAATGAGTGTAAACCTTTTTGACAAATACATAACTTTATATGCATCACATGGATGCAAGTGCAAGTACCAACTGAACTGTGATATCATATCATTTTCACCTCTACTAATTAAACTACCAGTGAATTAAAAGTATTGTCAGTAAAAAATTGTCTTCCTGAACTAGTCCTACCGGTATGCATCTGTTAATTTGAGTGTGCAGATGATATTGTCTTACTATGAGATGATACTCAAACCATGCAACTGCTACTTCACTAGTTAAAAATCAGTGTCCTTAGGAATGTCATGCGCTTGACATCTTTCAAGTACATAGTACAAAACTAGCAGAACCAGTGCCTGCACTCATTCTTGGTTGTGAGTAGTTGGTGGTCGGAAAGTCTGTGTATATGGGTAATTGTTGGTGATGGCGTGAGCGATGGGATCAACTCAAGTATATCGAAAGCCAGAGACGTTTATGCTAATCTTAACCAACTTTGATGCCTTCGTGATGTTAATCTGGCTGTAAAAGTTCGGACCTACAACGCGCCGATGAGAATAGTTTTGCTCAGTACTTGTGAAAACTAGCCTCACCGTATTTAGGATGTTAAGTGACTATGTTTGGTCACTGTTGTCTATGAAGGACTATCAACATACAGTAGAAACACCACGCTAGTAATGTATAGATTCAGCAACGTGTGCTCGGGCACATTGACAATAACTCAATTAATGTCACTGTCTTGAAAGACCAACTTTGGTGACTTGGACATGTACCACGAACGTTGTCACAGAGAATTTCACATCGTGCATTATTTCCCAACGCTGGGGTTGCTTAGAAAAAACAGTGATAGGTTTATGAAATGGTGTCGTGGCTTGAAAGAAAGCTATATGGGGCAAGCATATGTTGGTTATTCAGCTACTTCACCCCCTATCATCAATTCAGAAATTGATGCAGACCCTTCCAGAAGCAATATTTTGAATTTCTGAGAGGAACGCATCTCAAACATCCTGCCACTGATACTTAAGATGGTTAGAAAACTGTACTTCTCAGTTTTTGTCATTATTAGACGATGAAACTGTTATCTCTTAACGAATTTATATTTATTTTATTTTAACACATAGATATTGGTACAAGGAGACACCAAATACATATGCGCCACACAAATCTCATTTGATATGTGTGAGGGCTGTGATACCGCCCGGGTGCCCAAACCGAAGCAGGTGGTTTTCTTAAGAGGCCACACCCAGAGCCTTCGACCTGAAGGTCTGATCCACAAGGCAGTGGGGGATCGTAAGGAGATGCAGTCCCATGGAAGCCGGTGACCAACAATTGGTTCATACGCCATTTGTTCCTTCAGGTTACTGGAGCCCATGTGCACCATTGGTTTGGAATCCGGTTAAAGCGCCGGACATTCGCTTTTCGTTCTCTCATTTTCGTAAACAACAACCACGCCACGAGAAGGCAGTGAGTAGGACTTCCCTGGCAGGGGCTGTATACGCGTGGCCGTGTGAGAGAATTTCGAGAGGGAGAGCCGATTCTCCCAACTCTCGGCCGTACCAAGGTATTTGGGGGCTAACGAATGTATATGACAAAGATGAATAATAATAGGGAATTCAGAAATCCCAGATACATACTATCTGAAGTTATCGATTCCGATGATGATTCATAACACTAATATACTTTATCGGAACGCCTTTCGGTAACTACAAAACCTATCGATTCACGGGGCCAAACACTGCCTTAGAGTTAACAAACACAACCATAGTTGGGAGTCGGTGGGTACATCTGCGTTTAGTAATCTGGCGGAGGGCAAACATTAGGTCTACACATCCGTTTAGTTTTGAAACCAGTTTGGTTTTCCTAAGTTCAACCTTCACACACACTTGGATTATTGAAGCTAATATTCCAGGTACTATGATAGTCGGACTGATTTCTCTGCTGTCACCGCAAAATGTATTTTCTCCTTTCTCGCAGACTAGGACGACCGGTCAGATGGAACTACGTCCAGTTCTCAGGCTCTAGCTGAGATCTTAATCTAACTGCCTTACGTAACCTTGCCAGTCAACTTATAGATGACGTTTCCGGAGGGAAGTACTGAGTAAGGTTAATGTGGTTTGATGTTATTCAGACCAACCTAGTAACCCAAAGATTCGAAAGTAAACGGTAATTCGTACCACAAATTCCGCAGATGTCACTTACCGGCATTTCCAAAATCACCAGCCAAATCTGATGCCTCATTGATAAACTTGTCAATATTTTTTTCGTGAGCCAAAAAGTTAGGTCTAATAACTTTTTCGTAGATTATGATAGCTCCGTTAGGTGATGTTGGGATCATCATAAACAAGAAAAATAGAGACTGAATGGGTCAATTCACAAGTAAAAACAAACCTTTAGCAGCGAATACAATGGTATCCAAAAAAACAATATATCAGTTAATGACTCAATAACACTGAATGTTGCGAAAACAACCCAGTAAGTGAGCCACTTTGTATCATCCCCCTTATCAGACGTCTCTAATGCTTTGATCCTGAAAATTTAAAACAATTTTGCGCAAGTTACGATCTGTATGCTGGATAGATGAATCCAATGAGGTTTGCAATGAAGCTAGTCCCATAACCGAAAATGAGGTACAGAAATATCAATACAGCACTTCCTGTTTATAAATTATAATCTCTAACACTATTATTACCAGTAACGATGTATAGTCTGTCGACACCTGACTTTTTTTCCACCTTCTCCAATAAACCTGTGAACCAGTTCTTTTGTTTCAACGAATCTTCCAAGATTTTACGGGTACCCGCTAACCTTTCCATGTTTAGATCCTTTAAAAATACGGGTCGCTTTAAGGATGAAATTAGTGTAAATAAAGCACATTAACATATAACCTGAATTATGAAGATCCACAACGACACATAGATATGATTTCGGATTTTAGTAATAGAGATAGACTACCAAATCAGTTACATTGTAGTGGTAAATAAATCCACGAAATAGGTTTTCGACATTGGATGCTGACCGCATTAGTTTTAATCGACTCACCTAGCTGGAGGCGCTCGGTCATGCATCCGCACCAGATCACATGTGGCAACGCCGCGCTCAACATCTACTGCAATCGCTAGCCAGACTGGATCAGACAATTTTGATATATTGACAATCGTCAGATACAACTTCTGATCTCCTCGATTTTGTCTTTTCATTTCTCTTGGTGAGTAGGAGTTATGTCTGAAGGTGTTATTGGTTAAAGCGTTGTCAAACACTGAATACCTGTGCCATCTTCAACACTAACTATTACTACTTGTGATATTGATAGTATATTGTCTCGTTAATCCAGACAGGACAAAACTGAAGTTCTGGAAGTTCATGTTGGAAATTGTAACAGTTTATTACAAGATACTATGAGGTCAAGATCCCAGGACAAGTCAGTTCAATTCAGAAAATGTGAGCAGTTCTACTGATACCATTAGAAGTTTTGTCCTAAATCAACCGGATCCAGTCAAATATGAGTCTGGCCAACACAGACTCCTAAGAATATGGACATGACGGTAAATAAATCCCCAAAATCAATAGCTCTGCAAGTCTTCGACACTTGGTGCTGACCATATTAGTTTTACTGGACGCATCTAGTCAAAAACGCCCGGTCATTAATCCGCACCAGATCATCAGCGGGTACTCCGTGCTTCACATCTGCAACCGCCAACCAGCTTAGACTGATCACTTCTCGATATATCGATATTTCATCAAATATATCTTTTAACCTCTTTGCTTCTGACTTTCGAATTGACTGGGTTGGCATATTTCGATTATAAAGGGTGTTAATGGTTAAGATGTTGTCAAACTCTGAATGCTCATGGCATTTTTATTAGCGAGCCTAACGTGGACCAGTACACCGATTTCTAGACTGTGAGTCTGTTCTTTTTAAAGCTTTATCATTTTTTACTTTGATTTTTGAATATTGTGATGATTTATTAGTATTTATGTATATATTTAGTCTCGTTCGATGCTATACTTTAGATTCGTTATGACCGAACAGACTCCTAAATTATTTAAGACCAAGACTCTTCCGCCATCCTCGTTTCAGCTAATACCATTTCCGCCCGACAACATCGATGCCTAGTTCTGTTACATATAAACTGACTTCCACGAACACGGCGTGACAGACCTGTGTCCACAATTTCTCGCAGCATTGAAGTCACTACCGAGCGTTTACAGCAGGTACGTCATACCTAGTATGTTTACTAGTGATGTTTCAGAACCTTAAAAAACTCCAAAAAAAACTGTTCTAATGCAGGAAGATCTCACCAACCGACAACAGTTGGACCAACTCCTCAACAATATCGATCTACGACATGACTCAGACATATTGTTATGAGTGAGGGGGTCATTGTTCAACGGACCTTTGACGGTGGTCTGCTTAGAGAGCTTTTCTTGTCTAAACTTCCACAACAGGTGCAGGTGAAGCTTGTTTCATTTTAAAACTACACTGTAAACGAAATGGATGCATCTGCCTACCGGATTCTGGAGATCACCAGAACTTCGAATGCCGTGATCTACTCAGTCCAACAAAAGTCTCAGATGATGCGAAAAGGCGTCACACAACTCTGCCATACTCTGACACGTTACCCTCCTATTCGTATTGACCGCATACGCTCCCGAACTTCTCGAAGGAGTCCTCCACGAAAAGGACATGTCTCTAGACGATGACAGACAGACCATAATAAGTAAGGCAAGTCTTCTAGAAATTGTAGAAAACCCTACAGTTTCCGAAGCTTCCAACCAACCGACACGAAAAACATTTCGAGTAACTTCCCACTCGGCATTCGTTAACGGTAACCGTAACCAACGTACAAAGCCGTCTGCTATACACCACTGACGTGATGACGAAAGTTCCCTAACTTGTCAACAGTGAGACACGAGTTAGCGTTCTTCATGAAGCGATTTACAACTTTAAGGTGAAAAATGGGGAACCGATCGTCACATACAGTAAGCGATTTGTGTGAATTTACGCAAACCCACTCACTGGATCTTCGTTGTCGCATATATTTCTATGCCAATCATTGGTACAGACCTACTACAACATAACTAATTCACCCACATGAGCAAACGGAAGTTAGTAAACGGAAATACGAAGTTATGTTTATATGACTTCCTTTTCCAGGTGTAGATTATCCCCAGTCACATTAAGACACAAGATCGACCCATGCTACTGAGAAGAACCAAACACCACCAAAATTTCCGTGTGTAACCAGCAATGTTGCACATCGCGACTACAAGACCACCTTTATTCTCGAAAGCGCGCCAACTAGCTCCCGACAAGCTGAGGTTGACTGTAAGTGAATCCGATCGTATGATAGACCTAGTAACTGTACGACCACCAAACAACCCATGGCATCTCCCTTACTCATAGTCCCTAGAAAGGTATAACTTTTTCATCGAAAATCGATTTGGTTAAAGCGTGTAACCAAATTCCCATGGCTGCTGACGACATTTCCAGAACAGTATCACTCGTCTGGAAATCTACAAATTTTCGCGAGTTCCTTCTGGCTTAAGAGATGATGCTCAAAACTTCCACAGATTAATTAACGACGTCTTCTGATGTCTCAGTATCGTATATACATATGGAGATGACTGCTTGACAGTAAATCCGAACAGAGAATTCTATCTCCAGAATCTGGATTTTCTATTCGAACGACTACTAAAACACAGCGTTACTGTAAATACTCAGGTATGTCAAGTCAGAGCTGACTCCGTGAACCCTCTCGGATACAGTACTGATGCTCAAGGCACCTGTCCTCTGTAAAGCAAAGGAGCGGCCATTCTCCATCACACAGAACCTATCACAGTCAAGAAATCACGCACGCCTAACGAATTAATAACAGTAATTTATTCTGAAATAACAGTTTGTTACCTGGGGAATACCAGTTTACAGACAAGATCGAATTGTTACAAAAGATACAATTTTCACTGTAGTAAATTACTCAGCTGGGTTGATATTTTATAAAATATGAATGTAGATGGTTTTAGTAAGACTCGTATTGTCAATATTACAGTTGGCATGTCTTATGAAGGTTGCGTCGCGACGTGCAACTGATGGTCGAAAATAAATCCATGCGAAATTGGGGGCTGCTATAAACCGCAATCTTATATCCCTCTGGAGTAACTGAGGCTTCAACGATGGTGCACGTCAAAGTCACCGGTTCCATATCTATTTTCTGTGGCATATCCGAAGGGGCTGAAAAAGGGTGTAAGAAAAAGAAAAGATGAGAAGCAGAGCAGACAACGTTCATGGGGGAATAGTCAAGGTATGAATACTCAGTCAAATTCTCTTTTATTAAGATACTTATTATGCAAGAGCATTCTAATGTGTTAATGAAAATAATTGTAAGCGGATAAAGAACTGTATAAATGAAGGTGGATTAGAAAGAAGCTGAAAGTATGGGATCATGTGTAGTTATAAAATAAAGTACTGAAAACAATATTCTGATACACAAATGGCTGTCTCCCTTTTTTATCGAAGCTATTTGAACCCATTATTTCTTTAAATAGATTTTTTAGGGTCTTGAGAAGGCTTTGTTCTTAGCGAATTGTCTAGTTTGCTTGCAGTATGAGTACACTACCATGAAGATAACTAATGATATAAGCTATAAAAAACTGACCAGATTATACATGGTTAAGAGATGGTAAGGACTAATGGCAAACCAAAGGATATGTAAGGGTATAAGATTGTAAAACTTTCAGGGTAAGAAAAATAAAGCATTGAGCAACTCACAAGACTTTAGGACATTTTAGGATTCGTATGATCGGCCTTAGTTGATCAGCATCCATAAGATTAGTGAGTTATCTGTCTACCTGCAATAAAAAAGGATATGACACTTAGGAAAAATAATGTACCTTTAACCATTAGAGAGATTCAGAAACTGAAAGTGAGGGTTAGGAGCATAAGGGCATGACTAATAATCGATGACTAATGGGAGAGGATGACCCATTTGTTCTGTGATTTAGTTATATTCATATTAATAACAATGGGGTTCGTTGTATTGTTGTTCCGTCTAGATATTAGCCGGTCCATAATAAAGTGCCTCATTGGTGAGCGCGAATAGTTGACGAAGTTCTTCCGAGTCTAGTAAAAAGGTTATTAGCCTTCCGAATTTCGTAAAAGCCCCACAATTACGTGTAAATATTGGCAACTTGTCCCACAATAAACTATACCTTACTGTAAAAACCGCAAAACTTATTTGTTTTTGGTGTTTAACGGTAAGTAGCGTACATGCGTTTTTTCTTAGTCTGTAGGCTGGGTCATGAAGCGTATACGGGCAGGAGGCTAGAAATGAGAGTCTGTACACTTCTTTGTAGAGAAATATTAGATTGTTCCTTAGCCTACGGTGCCATAAAGGTTCTAGAGAGATTCTTACATCTATCTGTGTAATCGAGAGTTGAGCCAGTTCTTAGTATTTGGCGTGTGAAGCGTCTTCGAACATCATTTGCTCTTATCTTGTATGTGGTATTCATATTTGAGAAGATAAAAGGGTAATGTACAAGGGAGGGTCGTCCGCACATTTTGTAAACGGGAAGCTTACTCTGTTGTGAAGAAATTTTTTGTTATGAAGCCAATTAGCCAATTAACCAATTAGGAAAAATAGTGGAGGCATGTTCTTCAAAGTTGAAGCTTCCTGTGTGACTAATTCCTTGATTGTGTACTGATTTGAGTGTCTGAACTCTACTTTTATTTAAATAAAGTTGTAGTTCTTAGGGATGCTTTCCAAAATACATCATCCTGCAATTGATGAGGTTAAATGGCAATTGCCATTTTTCTTTCCAGGCATTTAGGTTTTCGGGGTCACGTTGAATTTGGTTCATACGGAATCGCACATATCTCATGAGACTCTTAAGTGACCAACTTTGTGGGA